TGAATTGATCGATTAAGGGATTGATTGATTGAGGGAGTGATTAGTGAATTGATCGATTAGGGGATTGGTTGATTAACGGATTGATTGAGGGATTGATCAATTAATTGATCGATTAATGGATTTATCAAGGGATTGATTGATTAATGGATTGATTAATTAAGGGGTTTATTAATTAATGGACAGATTGAGGGATTGGTCAATGAATTGATCGATTGAGGGATTGATTGATTAATGGACTGATTAAGGAATTGATTAATAATAATTAATAAAGTTGATTAATTACGGGATTGACTCATGAATTGAAAGATTAAGGAATTGAGTAAAGCGTTAATTAATTAATGGATTGATAAAATAATTGATTAATATAAGGGTGGATTAATGAATTGATTAGTTAAGGGATTGAGTAATTAATGGACTGACTAAGGAATTGATTAACCCATTCGCCCCACGTGGAAAGAATAGATGCCATACCCACTTTGATACACGTTTATTTATTGTATTTACACATAGATGGCTCCACAAGTTCTTAATCACCAAATAGCCAGTTATCAAGAAATACCTATTTCACCCTGTTTACCCTTTTCCTTCACTTTGGGAAAGTTGTTTTTTTGTATCATTTCATTGTCTAAAATATTCGAATGACAATCTAATAATCATAACATCAATAACAATAAAAATTGTGTCGATAGCAATGGTATTAATTTTCCCGCCAATTCAATGAATGGGAAAATCAGGGTCGGTAACTAGGGCCTACTGATAGACTCCTTGCTGGCTGAGCACATGTGGAGCCATCTGTATGTAACAAAATTCACCAAAAACTACAGGGGACAGAACATAAATCCGGGGCGAATGGGTTAATGAATCAACCTGGAAAAACCTGATATGAGGAAAGTATATAATCTCTTACTCACAGCATAACTCTCTGTCCATTATTGCTCTTTCTCGCTCTTTCGTTCTGGTCCCGCTCTCTCTATTTCTTTCTCTGTCGCTGTCTATGGCTCTATCCCTGCCTCCGCCTTTGCTTCAGTCTTTGTGTCTCTCTCAGTCTCTTTTTCTGTTTGTTTATATGTTCGTCTGTTCGTCCGTCCTTCTGTCTGTCTGTCTGTTTATGTCTCTGTTTGTATGTCTGCCTCTCTCTCTCTCTCTCTCTCTCTCTCTCTCTCTCTCTCTCTCTCTCTCTCTCTCTCTCTCTCTCTCTCTCTCTCTCTCTCTCTCTGTCGCTCTCTCTCCATCAATCTCCCTCTCGCGCTCTCATTGTTTGTCTTTCCCTATCTTCGCCATTCACTCTCTATCTGCCTTTCCCCTTTTTATGTACGAAATCTAACCACCTATGTATGTCTAAAAGCTTTTCGGTGCAACACTCGGTTAATATTAGTATACATGCCCTAAAAATAAACTGCGGTGAGTCAAAGATACCTGTACTAATTTTGCTGTGACCTTTGACCCGTGACCTGATCTGGCAGTCTTACCCTTCGGACGCCCGTGAGCGGCGAAGGGGAAAGAGGAGGGGATGTCAGAGCGAGGGGAGAAGGGTGGGGGGGGGGAGTCAGGGCGAGGGGGGAAGGGTGGGGGGATGTCAGGATGAGGGGAGAATGGGGGGGGGATGTCAGGGCGAGGGGAGAATGGGGGGGGATGTCAGGATGGGTGGAGAAAACGGAACAAATGTGAGAGAAGGAGAGGTTGGAAAATCAGGGTGAGGGGAGGGGAGGGAGGGGAACCAGGTAGAGAGGGGAAGACAGGGAGGGAACCAGGGAGAGGGGAAGAGAAGGAAGGGGAACCAGGGGGAGGTGGAGAGAGGGTGGAAAATCAGGGTGAGGGGAGGAGAGGGAGGGGAACCAGGGAGAGGGGAAGAGAGGGAGGGAACCAGGGAGAGAGAGAGAAGGAAGGGAACCAGGGAGAGGCGAAGGGAGGGAGGGGGGCCAGGGAGAGGGGAGGAGCGAGTGAGTCAAGTGGAGCGGAGGAGAGGGAGAAAGACCAAGAAGAGGGGAGAAGGAGAGGAATTAGAGTGAGGGGAGGAGAGAGAGGGAAACCAGATAGAGAATAAGGGTGCGCTGGGTACGACACGGAAGAGGGTGGGGGGGGGGGTCACAGAATAGGGAAAGGAAAGGGAGGAGAAAGGAAGAAAGGAGGGGAAGGAAGAAGAAGGGAAGGGAGAAGAGGGGAAGAGAGGAAAGGGGAAGAGAGGAGAAGGGAAGGGAGGAGAGGGTTAAGGAGGGAGGGTGGAATGGGAGGAGAGGGGAAGGAAGAAGAGGGGAAGGAAGAAGAGGGAAAGGAAGGAGAGGGTGGAAGGGGAGGAGAGGGGAAGGGAGGAGAGGGTTAAGGGTTGAGAGGGGAAGGGAGGGGAGAGGAGGAGGGGGGGGAACATTAGGCTCCAAGCCAAACCTAGTAACGAGAGTTTTATTCCTGAGAATTTCAAGGATCACCTCGATAAAAAAAGAAAAAGAAAAAAAACGCTGTCGATGCATTAAATCTAATACATGAATGGCAAAAATGATGATAA